ACAGGAGGGGGGAGGGGCGGGGGGGGAGGCGGGGTGAGAGAGGCTGGAGGGGGGGGGAGGTTTGGAGCTGGCTGGGAAAATTGAGGGGGGGCCAGGTGGGGGTCCTCCCCCCCACCCCCCGGGGCTGTGGTGTCCCTGGGGCCCCTAGATGGACCAAACTAAGGGGGTCCTATTGACTGTACCTGCAAGCCCTATCTTGGACTGTGTTCCTGTCGTCTAAATAAACCTTCTGCTTTACTGGCTGGCTGAGAGTCCTGGTGAATCGCAGGAAGCCGGGGGTGCAGGGCCCTGAGTTCCCCAATACTCCGTGACACCCTCAGCCACCAGCTTCACCTTGATGCGCTCCGTCAGCTCCGTCACGTAGCTAGGGGCCAGCTAAGGAAGTGGAGATGTGGCACCCCCTGCAGTGGGGTCCCGCTCCCTCAGGGGCCCCGCTACCCACCTGCGATGGGGGCTTGGAAGGGACTGCGGGTAGGGGAGGATATTTCATCACAACACCCGGAAGAAGAGATCAAACCAATGACCTGCAGGAGCAGCCACCTGGAGCCCTGCAGTGAAGGAGTGTGACGAACTGGGACTGTTCTTAATGTGGTCTTTGAATGCTGAGTGGGGAGTGTTGGTCTGGGAAGGCAGGGGAGTTTGGCTGGGGCTGTCTGCATTGGGAGATGGGAGATTGGCCTTGAGGGAGGATACCTGAGCATGTAACGAGAGAACCCAGGAGGGGGCTGGGGCCAGGTGACACCTCTGCCCAGGGAAACTGGACAAAGGCTGGGGGAGGAGCCGGGGGGGAGGCTGGGTGAGAGAGGCTGGAGAGAGTGGGAGTTTTGGAGCTGGCTGGTAAAATGGAGGGGGGCCCAGACGGGGCTCTGCCTCCCCACCCCCCGGGGCTGTGGTGTCCCTGGGGCCCCTAGATGGACCAAACTAAGGGGGTCCTATTGACTGTACCTGCAAGCCCTATCTTGGACTGTGTTCCTGTCGTCTAAATAAACCTTCTGCTTTACTGGCTGGCTGAGAGTCCTGGTGAATCGCAGGAAGCCGGGGGTGCAGGGCCTTGTGTCCCCCCACACTCCGTGACAAGGAGTGACTCTGACAGCTGGTGGCAGAAGTGGGTTGTTCCTCCCCACATGGGGCAGCCACTAGAGGGGGCCGTGGTGCACACCCTGCGCTGCGGGTCACGATTTCGCTGGGGGAGAGCGTTTGGATGGAACAGTGGGTCCCTTCCCCGGGGAGATGGGCCCCCCCGGCCCCGGGCAAGGATACTGCAGCTGCTCCATGGCCTGCTGGTTGATGGTGCCCAGGCTGTTATAGACCAGGGTGCTGCTGAGTAGCACGGCCAGCGTGAAGATCCACGCGTCGTTCTTCGTGTTGCCCTGGAACGACACCCACCGTCACCGTCCTGAGTGTGTCCCAGCCGCAGAACTCAGAGCCCGTCACAGAGCACGGTGGGATCGCCAACCCCACGGCACAGATGGGGAAACTGAGGCATGGGATGGGGTGGCTAGTGGAACGGCCCCCAGCTCTCCGGAGTCCCAGCCCAGGCCACAATGAATTCCCATTCTCCAACCCAGCAGAGTCATTATTTGGGGTTGGTATATTCCCCTCCCCCAACCTGTTAAATCCCCAGCTCCCGGAGGCACGGGAGGGGGCGGGAGCTCCCATTGCTCCCCTCTTACTGATGTAAGTTCCTAAGCCACATGGCTGCATTTAAACTTTGGGAAGGCGACACCTCCCCATCCCCCGGGGTCCAGTTGCAGCGGCCCCCACTGCAGGCCGGGGGGGGTTACAGCTGCTCTCCTGCATTTTTCAGGTTCCATCCTCTTTTATCCCCAATGCCGGCTCTTCCCTCTGCCTACGGCAGGGCAAAGCCAACATAAGGCCAAGGCTGCAGGATCCTTCTCAAAGGATCCATTTTATCGGCCGTCTCTGAGCCCCTCTCCAGAGCGAATGTATTTATCGTCACACTCCCTCTGGCAGGCGGGGTGGGGAAACTTGAGTCCCAGCTCACACCGGGAGCCTGTGGAGCAGGGATTTGAACCCGACTCTCTGGAATGCCAGCCCTGCCCCCATCGCTACAGCAGGTCGGGAAATTGTCACTGGAGAACATCCAATTTTTGATACCAAAACCATTGATGAAACGGGGACAGTTAAGGTGAATTTCCCGACTTGAAAAATTATTGGGAAAAAAAGTTTCTGAATTGTGGAAACGGCCTGACTGGGTTTTTCAAGCCAAATGACGCCTCGTTGTCAATGTTTTGGTAAATTTGGACCAAGTTCAAAAAGAAAAGAAAAGTGGAAAATCAAAATGAAACGTTTGAAAATTATCCATTTTTTTGCGTGACCCAGACCCAGGGCACGTTTCCGATTTTCAAGCCCTGGCACTTTCCCCCCATTTTGACTTTTCATCACAATTCAGGACAGGAAACATTTTAAAGATCTCAACAGCTCTTCCTGGGCGGGAAAAGCATTTCCAGCCACACCCCGGCCTCCCATCCCAGTCCCACCGCGGCACCCCAACCCTCCGGACATTGGCAATGCCCCCCTGAGAGGGCGCTAGGCCTGCCTCGGACAGCGCCTCCTTCTCCTGCATGGGGTTTGCTAGGAGTGTCTGTTAGTAGAAGGACCGGGAGCTCCTTAAATACCACATCCCCTTTCCCAGCATGCCTTGCCCTGAACTACAAGTCCCAGCAGCCCCTGCGTGCCAAGGGGCGTTCCATCCTGCTCAGCTCAGCAAATTGGCTGATTCTCATACGCTGGCCCCCCCACTCACCTTCTCCACATCACCCAGCCCCTCGGTGTCCAGCAGCACCAGGGTGTGGCCGGCCCGGCGGGGGTGGGGCAGGCACCACATCCAGATGCCCTTGGTGTGCGACTGGATGGTGGAGCCCAGCGAGAACCCTGGGGAGAGAGGGGCGGAGCTGGGACAGTCACAGAGCGAGGGAACCCAGGAGTCCTGGCTCCCACCCACCCCTGCTCTGACCCACTAGACCCCACTCCCCTCCCAGCGCCAGGGAGAGAACCCAGGAGTCCTGGCGCCCGGGGGCAGGGCTCACGTCTCTCACCCGTTCTCTTGCTGGCCAGTTTGTTCATGAGGTAGGACTTGCCGGTGCGGTACAGCCCGGCGATGGCCACCACCACCACGGGCTGGGAGATCTCCGACAGCACCTGCAGAGCCTCCTGCTGCACCCGCAGCTCCCCCGCCGGGCTGTTCTCGATCAGGCAGATGGGGGCCGGCATGCGGATCTCCATCGCGCTGGGAGGTGGCCTGTGGGACACAGAGTGGGGAGGGTCAGCGGGGGGGGGGGGTGAGACATGGTGGGGCAATGAGACATAGAGCCAGGCCCCTCAAACTGCGGGAGGCCCTTCCACCCATCCCAGGTGCAGGGTACGGACCCCAGCGTCACCCGCGGCAGCTCACCCCGGGGCAGACAAGCCCTGGCGCTCCCGGGCATCGCTGCAGACCCCCAGCCGGTGCCCCTTGAATCACACCTATTGGGGCTGCTGCTGGACAGGGAGGACGGTCCAGTGGTTAGAGCAAGAGCCAGGGTCACATCCCAGCTCCCCCACAGATTCCCCGCCACTTAGGCCAGGGTTTGGAAGGTGTTTCGTTGATGCTGCACTCAGCATTGCAAGGCCTGACTGTCCCTGGTCTCAGCTGCTCCGTGCCTCGGTTTCCCCATCTGTACAATGGGGATAACAGCGCCACCCTGCCCCCCCAGGGGGAGTGAGGGTCAATACATGAGGCTGTGGTGATGGGGCCCCTAGAAAGACCATAGACAGGGCAACCAGAGCCCCCAGGATGGAGCCATGGGGCATGCGGAGGCCTCTTGCCTCTGATATAAAATTATTCTACTTAACTCCCAGGGGGCAAATTTGTCACGTACACATGGGAGAAAGAAGAAGGACAAAATGCAGGGTCAGCTATAGGTAGTCAGGAAGTTCCTTCGAGAGGAAATGTAGCCAAACTCCAAACCTGGAGACAATGGAGCTTTCTGTGCCTGCGTCCTGTAGATAGCTAACTGCTTGGTTTGCAAAATAACGCAAGGGGGGAGCAAGGAGATGAACAATAAGGGGTCATAAGAGGGGCAGATACATGTAGCTTGCTAATTATGTATGGTAATGATGGCAAATTTTGGCCAATCTTAGAGCGATAGATTATCATAGTCAACTGCATATAATGCTTTGGTGTAAGTGTTTTCTTTGTTCTTGCTGACTTCTGAGCTCGAACCCAATTGCAATTGAAATAAACGGATCGTCCCTCCCGGGGCTCCTTGCTTGGCGAGCTGTGTCCGTCTCTCCTTATTCCTCAGCCGGAACGGACAGGAATTTCTATGACACCTCGATTACACCCCGTCTCCGAGCTCTCTCCGGCTGCCCGGAAGCTGCAGGCTGAGTGGAGGTTGATTTGTTTCCATTCAGTGACCAGAAAATCCAGGGGGGGAATTGTGTTGACTCCACCTGAGAGGGGAACGTGTCTGATGGTCTCGTCAAAGCAAAACCCCCAAATAAATCTGTGGGGGGCTGAAGTACAGTAACTCCTCACTTAAAGTTGTCCGGGTTAACGATGTTTCGTTGTTTCGTTGCGGATCAATTAGGGAACAGGCTCGTTTAACGTTGTGCAATGCTCCCTTCTAACGTCTGGCAGCCG